GTCAGATGAAAGGTCCACAGGCTGTACCTGACTCTGAAAACCTGTATCCAACAGCAAAACGAACTCCATAGGTCTCTGACTCTGAAAACCTGTATCCAACAGCAAAACAAACTCCCTCTCTCTCCTTTGCAAGCCCTGGCACAGAAGAGCTGCTGGGAAATGGCAGGCCAGAGGGAAGTCAATGCTTTGCTGATGAGGGGTAGTGCTACTCGACTGCGCGGGAGGGCATTTGGCACATGTCTTGCCCCTGAAACAGGAGTCTGAAAATGGGTCTTATACCTTTAGTGTCACTCTTGGAGAAGCCTTTTCAATGGTATGGCACAAAATTTGGTGCAGGGAGTACTGGTAAAGTGACATAGTTTAGTCAGCCTCATCAAGAGAAAACATGTTTTAACACAGCAATCTGGAAATCTCGGGACAAATGAGCAATGTGGGATGATCTTTTTTCAGCCAAGTTGCTAGGAAACATCACTGTAGTCAATCATACAACCATCAACTACTGCTGCTCAGGAGTTTTTTTAATAAACTCTGCTCATACTGAGGACTAATGCAGTGAAGCTAAAATCGCTCATGGGACCATGCCAATTTTGAAAAAAAAACAAGCAACAAAACCTGCACCGGCAAAGAGTTTTCAGGTTCCAGATGGAATTTGTGATCCAAAAAGTATACTGGGAAGGTTGGTGTCACGAGTACATAAAAAAATCAAGAGGAGCAGCTCAAATCCACACCCTGTGATTAAGTCTATAGTAAGTAGATTAAATTCACTATGCACAGCAATCTGCATACACTGTAGGAAATTTCAAAGGATTTTGAAGTTTGAAAATGATGACTGCTCACCTAGTCTAACGAGCAAAGCAGCCTAATGCCCTGCGATGGAGGAAGCCCAGGTTCAAATCCTCGCTCCAGGGCGGTGGGTGAAAGGCAAAGTCAAGGCAAGAACCAGTCTTCCTCATGGGCTGGAGATGTTTGTCTACAGCCCCGGGCCACTGAGCATCAGGATTTTGTGAACAGTCTTCAGGCTCTCAATGCGCTGCTGCAGAACAGTCAATGTTGAAATCTGAAAGCGTTATGCAGGACAGGAAACCCTGTTTTAAACACTTCTCCTGCCAGTGGGGGAGATGGTAGGTTTTTCACAGAGCTGAGGTGCCTGTGTGGAAAGGCTGAAAGGTAATGCCAGTGGCAGCACAAGTAGGTAATAAAAGGGAAACTGAGATGTAAATAACACTTTATAAGGCTGAAAAAAATTACCAAAGAGAACATAACATTAGAAATTATTTCCAAAGCTACATCTTCGAAAGAATCTACACAATAAAAATATCAACTTTTATGCACTTTTGATATAAAAGCATGTGAAAGATTTTAGGGAGGAACAGAACAAGGAGTGTTCTGTTCAGCAGTGTTATTAAACAAAATGCAAGAAATCAGCAAGTTAAGTGAGAAAAATCCCACACACGGAAATTGAAAAACAAAGCATCTAACTTTTTACCATTACTACCCATGTCTGGCTAAAAATGCTAGACATCCTTTCATATTGCAAAAGTTATTGAACTGTTAAAAAAAATATTCTGGAGCTCAGACCGAGAGTAAAATAGTTACATAGATGTCCATACCAATTCCTACGGACAGGAACAACTCTACTCCAAGCAGGGCTTGGGTTGCCTTGCCAGCGCAGGCCCCATGGAGCAGTGGTGCACAGGCTGTTCCACGGGCACAGCTGGCAGAGCTGGGATGTGCCAACACGGTGTGGACGTGGAACAGAGCCATTCCCTGGAGACCATCAGAGCATGTAGACATTAAAGAAACGTTTTGTTCTCGGCTGTCCCCGCCCCTCAAATTTTGGTGAGCAGCCACCCACGGGCAGAGAACAGAACCATACCACAGTACAATACACTTATTGTGGGCAAAACCCACAGAAGGACCAACATACAATTGACTGGGTTGTGCTAATTGTCAGGATGCTGGACCTTCTGGCAGCCCACAAGTCCTGCTATGCCAGCAGACGGGCTGCTGCCCACAGAGCACAAGCAGCCGTGCCACAGACCCTCTGCCAAACCCTCTCAGACGCAGCAGGATCGCCCCGAGCAGCAGAGTCAGTCTCAGCTGACTCCGGGGCAGCATCTTCTTTGCATGGAAGGCAGCTGTTTTCATTTCAAAGTTGATATTTACCTTCAACCTTCCCCACTGGTCAGGTGCTTTCACCGAGGAATTTGCTTACTGCTGCCTACGCCACCAGCAAATGAATGTGCAAGGGTTCCCAGCCTTTATTACACTTTTACTAGCAGTCTCGAAGTTGTAGGTAAGTTGGAAACGATCCAAAACTGTTTCACATGGCTGCTGGACAGAAGTACCTCTAACGACACCAAACTAATGTTCAGAAACGCAAGCCCATAAGACTGCAGGCAAAAAAGGGGATACTGAGGTGTAAGTATCACTATTGGGAGACAGAGTAGACATCAGTGTGGAATTTTTTGCTTTTGTTTAAAACTCTGGTGAGTTTTACCCACTCTGGTGAGGTGGGTACGTGTGATATATAAAGCCTGACCAACTCTCATGCATGAGGTTTTCTTTCAGAGACCAAATGTATTTCATCTTCATCCACCTGTAAGGTAAGAACGATGGCTACAATAGAACCATGAACAGAAAAGCAGACGATACAAAAAGGAAAGCAAGAAGTAAAAAATAACAGCAATGCTCATAGTAAATAGAAATACGTGACGTGATAAGACAGTTTAGGGGCAGCAGCTGGGGAAAATTTTTGAGCTGGTTACTTCATCCTTGCTTTTCTTTGGCAGTATCACTTTTCACAGAAAATCCTGGCAAGAAGTGCTGTCTGCAGTGGTTTTAATCTTGGAAACGATCCACGTGTGGTGGCTGCATTAAGACTGGAAGTTAAAAGGCCACAGGTGGTGACAGCTTGTGCCTCACCATGTGTCACAGCAGACCGACGCCTGCACTCAGCCCCTCAGCTGAGATTGTTGGGCACTGAAATACTGGATGGGGTGCGAGCAATCCAGAAAGGTAAGGGGACAAGGAAGGAAAGTAGGCAAGTTTGGGGCCCAGATCCCCATATACAGGGACCTTGCAGCGTGCAGGCATTGAGTAACCAGCTTGAGTCCCTGCACAGGGTGGAGAGCGGGTGCTGTGCCACCACTGCCAGTGGCAACAGTTGATTAAGAAAATAAAGAAAAATTAAATTGGGAGCCTCTGACCTATGGAATTGGTCCAGGGTCTGTTCTGTGGGAAAACACATCCTACACCACAGCCAAGGAGAGAGTCTGGTACAGATTACCTCCTTACGCAGAGATTTAATTGCTGAAAGTATCAAAATAAGTTTGCTGAGTACTTGTTTCCTTCTTGTTTTAAGCTCCTCAACTGACGCTATGAGGAGCACGTACAAAGTTTCCAACTGGAGAAGGAAACGGCAGGTCATGCTAAAAGGCTTTGGTTTGATTCTTTGATTTTGTTGTTTCTAAGACAGGGGAAAAGAGCACACCAGTGTGTTTCTATTGCATGATATGCTGAGACAGGACAGAGAGTTGTCCTAATATTACAGCAAACATTGTTGCAGAGCTAAACGGTAAGCAAATGCTGCATAATGTATACAATCACGAGAATATAGACAAGGCCTTTCTTGCACTGACTTGTTACTTAGCATTTGATAACTCGCTGCCAAATCAAAAATACAATTACTGAGATCTCAGTGCAGAAGAAAAGCATAATTCAACTTTCTGGCAAAGCTCAAAGTTCAATTACCCTGTAGCAAATCAATCAAAAGTGTGTGCTTCAAGCAATGAAATAGTACAGGTGTCACCTCACTGCTTTCAGCTCAACATGTTTTTTCTTCTTTTTAAAAATCAGCAAGTAGCACTAGGAAATATTTACAAAGTTCACATTATGCAGGAGATAAAAGAGAATCTATCAGCGTGATTTAGAGCGGCAGAGAACAGTGTCCAGGGCAGGCAACACAATAAATAATGAACATTTATCACTAGTAACCTGGTGTGAAGATTTTTTTTTATAGACACCGAGATTGACGATACCAGTTTAATGTTGTATCTGCCACGTTCCAACAGCTAGGAGCCAGGCGTGCCAGGGCAATCATGCATTGAACCATGAGCAAACACGTTGGCCAACGCTGATGGATGTAGGGTCAGGCCGCTGGACGTGTACACGCACAGAGAATGCCACTTAACCCAACACCCAGCCTTCTGTTGGGATGGCGTTGGTCTGAGCTACACAAATAAAAGCTTCCCAAGGGGAGCAAGGTGCCACACCACGGCCTGGGAAGTCACGTGCACTTTGTTGCTTCAGCTGAACTCTTTGTGCGTTTTTGTTACAAAACTGCCCTCGTGTTCATGAAATCCCAAGATAGGTACCTCCTGCGGGGCCTCACTGACGTCTCCAACAAACTCCGGTCATGCCATAAAGCCAGGAAAAATACCAGGGACATATTATGCCATTTACTAGCAGCTGAGGGAGAACGGATGACACAAAGTTTGCCTTGACCGGAATGGAAACCTTTTGTTTCCAGCAGGGATCATTAGGCAAGGTTTTGCTTTATTTTTTTTCCTTGTTTGCTATTAATACATCATTCACAGAGCTGATGCAAAATCTTGCAATCAACTTTCTTTCAAATGGCTGAAGCCAACTTTGAAATTAAGTGCCCCGACTTAAACATTTTTCCTAGTGTACTGTTTCATTTTATTGTAATCATTTCTGCTTTCCCTCTGCCTGTGACTTATTTAGCTATGGCTACAACAAATGCTTTTTTAAAAACAGAAACCAAACAAATTCACTCATCTGATTAAAAATGAGCCTGAACTTTGAAAGAATATCAAGCCTACTTGAAAATAAAATTACATTTATATTTTAAGTTATGAAAAGAAAACAACTGATTCACTGCAAATGATCAAGTACATAAAATGGAAATTAAAAGAGCATCACTGAAATACAGTTAATTCTCACTGCACTTGTGTAGAATTGATATTTTGAAACATGAGGCATCTTAAAAAAATTTTATTTAGCATATCCAAAACCAAATGTTACAAAAAATTTTCTATAAACATAGGCAAAAATGTTTAAATAGGATAATTTAATGTAAACCAAACCCTTTTAAAATATGCAATACTGTAATCAGAGGTTATTTACATCCAGTGAAGACAGAACAACCTCCACTAATGCTAAATATTCGAAGCAAATAATGTCCATCATTTCTTAAAACAGCAACACATGTTAAAGTTTTAGTAGACAGATCATCGCAATCGTAATACAAGATGAAATTCAATGTTACATTCAAAAGTGGGGAAGGCAGTATCCTGACTATTCATGTCAGTCAAGAGAGTACTGCATCAGATTTGCAAAACCTTGAGAGAGGTACAACTATAAATTTAAGTATTTATTGCATGACAACGCAATTACACAGTAGGTAAAACTACTAAGTGATTTGGAAAAAAAAAGCTGTATAAAAACGCAGTACAAATGAAATTTTATTTTTCAATCAGATTAGAAAAGTCAGCCACAAGACTAAGCTATTTTCCCACATTTCACAAAACAGAAGAAAGTATTTTGTAATTCAACACTATTACAACATGGAGAAAGCTATTCATGTCTTAGAGAAAATACATTTGGATAACTGTGGCACACAAGTTTTGTTTAATTATGAAATATATTCACCAAAGCATAAGTTTATGGCCCACAATGGCATTCACGCTCATGTACATGGAAAAGGCATAGCCCGATGAATTCAACTCACAGATCATTTTAGATATTTGGTTGTGGCTTTTTTGGAAAGATGAGCATGATTTTTGCATTGCACATAGAAGTATCTACAGGATACAGCAAGATACTCAACTTAGGAACTGGAAACATAAAGCTGTTAAAAGTGGTAGTGGAATATAGCATTAGAAGAGAGAGAAAAAGAAAAAAAGAAAAAAGAAAGCCAGCTCATTTCTAAACTAGACTGCCCACGTTCAGGGGATGATGACAGCTGCTGAGTGACCTAATGTGAAATGGGTGATGATCTCCATGCATTTCCTATAGGAGAGTCTTATACCCAAACGAAAAAAGTCACTGCTAAAACTGCCAGATGCGCTGGCAGGCACAGGAGATGCCAATATGGCACGGACATTGAAATACCAGCTCTTTTTGAGGTGGTTCCTGCATGTTGAGATGAGGCACTTTGTTTTGGTAACGTCTGCCTAAAGCAGTACAAAACTGTTGCTTTGTATAAAAGGAGTTTTAAGTTCTACAAGTGGCAATTCAGGACACACGAGCTAAAACCACTTCAAAAGAAAAGGTCAGACAGTCCAAAAACAAGACCCAGGAAATTCTTACTACAAGTGTCCAAACCATATTGTTTTTATCTGCCCAATCTCTGTTGTAAATAATAAATATAAGTCAGAGTGATCTTTTTTGACAACAGTTTGGCCTGGAGTTCATCCATTAACTCTTAATACAACTTGCCTTAGCAACTGAAGATCCCCAGTAGACAAGTTAGGCAACCTCCTCTTTGTCAAAAATGAGAGCATAAAATTAATCATAAAATCCTGACTTCATTTGTCAGTACATTATACCAAATTCTCACAGAAGTGTGCACATACACACCCATCTACGACCATACATTTCTTTTCCAGCAGCTTTCTGTAAGATTTCTTAGGGAAAAGATGGGCTAAGCCCCCATGAGACGGTAGACACCAGCACACGTCAGACATCAACAGCAGTTTCAAATGGATGGCACCGACACTTCATTTGGGGTCTTTGGAATAAGATGCAGTTTGGGTTTCTGTAGTAAGAAAGCCAACACAACGCAGCAGTCCTTCAGGGCTAAGCCCATGTCAATCGGTGCTAGTACATGAGTAGAACAGAGAGCAATACTAAAGCTAATGCCACGCTACCTTCATGTGGGGTGGAAAGAAAACTGAAATCAATATTCGCAAGTCAAACCACGCAATGAACTTTTAAATCAAGCTGGGAAAAAAGAATTGCCACAGCACAGCTTGCACCAGCTTAACTATCATCAGCTTCTAAACCAGCTGGTTGAAATTCTGTACGAGCCTCTATTCTAACTTGTATCGAGTCTGACAAGAAATCCACATCTCTTCAGCCTCAAAAAGTCACTCCAGACTAACGCTCGGGGGGATGCCTGTAGAAATACAACACGATGCGACCTCACAGTTCTGCCCAGTCAGGTGGACTCGAGCTCACAGCTGGAGACAGCAGAGCCAGCCTGGACTAACACACTTCCCAGCACCTATAACCTAAGAGCTGTGAAAAAAACCCAAGAGGCTTGTGTAGACTGAGAATGAAGTGTGCTTTAAGAATTCATGTCATGGATAAAAGCACTACGCTGTTCTTAAAAACAGTGAAAAAAGTAGCTTTACTTCATTATAACATATTGTTAGCTTCTGCAACAGAAGCATCTTGTTAGAACAGGTAAGTGATAAATATAATTGTTGTTGAAAAAAAGGTATCTATAGTCTCTGCAAAGGATTTCCATAGCGTCCAATACAAGGTGCACACACAGTACATGTAACTATGCGAGAGGCAAAAGAGTATCAGGATTTGAGAAAGGGGTTTTTATTTCATAGTTGGGGGAAAAAAAAAAAGTCACACACACTGAATGCTTTCCCTTTTTTTTCCCTTTTAAAAGGAAAGTAATACCTTTGGGTTTAAGTGTTTAAGGATAATATCCTGGTCCCAGTGAAGACTGTGGTAGGAAGACTATGATCAGGATTTTATCCATTCGGAGTATTTCAGTATTTCATTATTTACTGTTGCATGAACTTTCAAGTTCTAAAGGTCACATATACACACTTCTCACCTCTATAATACACAAGTAAAAACAGACAGGAAAGGCAGAACATAGATAAAAAAAAAAGTACATTATTAAGTTCACAAATTAGTATCTTGAATTGTTAGCTTCTAAGCATTTACAGAATTTTGAGTTGTAATAGCAAAAGCTTTAGAATACACCTCTTCCGCTAGGACTCTGAAATTATTGCTATTAAGCCAGCATACTCTAACGAGATACTGGTTTGAACACAAAGGCAGACTGCTCGCAGCCTTCCGCGGGCCCAGGTTACGGTGCAGAATGTAACAAAAGACAAGAGGCAATACTGCAAAATCAGTCCCCTTTAGTGTAAATAACTATCTAAAATGTTCCTTAAGGATTCCCTACTTCAGACAACTCTGACAGTCTGCAGTAAGAAAGGGGAGGGAGGGGGATTCCACAAGTCTTGTGGGGAATGTGGACAATGTTCAGAATAAAACAAGTGACATCCCTCAAAGAGAAGGTACTTTTGAGAAGTATGATAGAGCACCACATTTATACCCGCACTACACTCTCAATATAGATTCCTTATCTTTCAAGACCTGCTGTAGTGAAAAAAAATACCAAACCCAAACCCAAGTGAATCTAAAACAAAAGTGAACTTCATTGTACAAGTCCATTAAATTACAGAAATGCATAATAAGCCAAGATAAAGTGCTACAAAATGATTAGTAATTTTTAAGAAGTCCATAGCATTCTTCTTGCTTCATTTAGCACTGGTGACAACAGGAGATAGTGCAATTGCACCGGCTGAATTGGAATTTACTATGTCTTCATATTGTGGGGGTGGATCTAAATGTTGTTCAGTTTCACTTCTTCTCATACTGATTTCACCAGTGGCTTCCTCATATGAAGGAGGAGGATCACAGTTTGAGAACCTTGTGGATATTGAGTCTGACCGTCCATCTGTATAGCTCAGACCTCCTGGAGAGAGCCCACTGACTTCATACATTTCCTCCTGTGGGGAATGAACAATGCTGAGAGGCGGTGGAAGAGGACCTCTACCGTCAGCCACAGCACCATCACCCATCGCTTCGTGGGCTCCCCTATGCACGTACACCGACTGTCTACGCATTTTCTTTTTAAAGAGGCATCTCCATATGACAAAAATGACAATGAGGATAACAAAAAGGCCAATGATTAATGGAAATGCAAGGTAAAATGAATACCAGGTATGTCCTGTGTTACTTTCTCCCTGAAGTCCATTTTTGTAGTCTTTCCAGAACTCCTTCTAGAAGAGCAAGACAGGATAAGTCAGAAACTATAACACAGTTTAAAAAAAAAAGACAACACTGTAATCAACTTGTTGTAAATGGATGACAAAAAAAAAAGGCATTTCAAATACTGATGATTAAATTAAGAACTGGTATGGATAAGCACAAACAATAAACGTTTAAATTTTCTTCTAATGTGGTTACTGATACAAAAGGTGTTTTGCTTTTTAAAACCAACTCCTCACTGCTTTTAAGATTCCTGTGACTGGACTTAATATTTACAAACCTGCAGCACAGGACAGACAGGACTAGGTAAATGATATCAGTTTAAAAAAAATAATTAATCAGCATGCACATCAGCCATCTGGCAGACCAAAATTTTTCAGCACCAAAAAAAAAAGTGAGGGTTTTGTTTGTTTTAAAATTGCAATAACATACTAATACGTTTTGACAGGGAAATAACTGTTTCAGAATGACAGACCATTTTGGCAAAGCACAACTATGTTGTACTGTCATCTCATAATTTAGACTTCGCCCACCCTCTGGCTCATAAAGCAATTGTTGTCAGCTTATTTTGAGTTGATTCGGATCCTCTATTTATAGCTAAAAATAGCTTCAGCAGTATAAGAATATTCCACAGCTTATTATATTCATGAAATTTTGACAAAACAGCTACAGATAAATGGAACAGAAAGTGAAAAGTGAAAATATGAGCGACGGAAAACAAAGACAAAGGGGGACACCAATCCTTGGAAGTAATCTTTGCTATATTCATATGCACAAGCAGGAGTACAAAGATAATGTTGCCATCCGATTTTCTCCGCAGTGAATAGTATGAAAAGTAAAAAGAAAATCATAACCTGCCTCAAAAAAGTAGCCATCCTCACCTTTAAAGTCTCTCCTACTAAGAAACACTTCCCCTGTGCTTTATAGCTATGTATAATTTCAGGAAAAAATAATGAAACCACCCCCTGAAATCCTTGTCAGAAACTCTAAATTTTTTAGTTTCCTTAAAAAATGTAGAGATGTGACCCACTTACATTCATACCATCATTTATTTCAAATGATAATACACATCTCACATGCAAGTATTTATAAAATACGAGGTAAAATTGATATGGTTATTGCTCAATTATTACTAAATTACATACTCAGGTTGCAGACTGACTCATTTTGTGTACACACAAAGTAGACACATCCATTTTTTTCAGTTCAGAACTGCTGCCACGTGATCAGCCTTAAACAGATAATGCCACCAAATGGGTCTCAGAGACAGCTCGAGTCCAGAAGCAGCACAGCCCTTCTAACGTGGAGGCTAATCTTGCCCTGTGCAAAGCCAGGACCAGGACATCATGGACAAAACACGTGCTCACAATGCTTCTGGATCAGAATTTACTAAGGTTTAGAGCAACCCCAAGTGCATGAAACAACTGGCTGTCATGTAGCTGTTTGGTTGGTTTCTTTTTCAGAAAAAAGAAACTCAATTGGTCTATCCCTATACTCAGTGCAAGTTAAAAAAAAAATAACAAGAAAGGTCTTTCTTAATTCCTACAACAAACCAGGATCAGATATTTTTTCTTAAATTCCAAGGCTTGACATCAAAGCAGGTCACTGCAGTGCTCATCTCTGATGTGAACCCAGGCCCAAATCATCCAAGTTAAGTCAGGTAGCATTGATTTTTAAAAAAAAAAAAAAAGTAAGCAAGTCTTAGAAAATGGACTAAACTCTCTCCCAATGTTTCTCTGCAAAGGCCTTTCTTGATGCATTGTTCCACAGTGAATCACTGATCAACTGTGCTGACTTTAGAAAAACATTTAAGCGGTAAAACTAACATTAAAAAATGAAATCAGCTGCACAACTGAGGACTTTGGAGGGTCTCTGCATGATAAAGACCAACAAAACCAAACACCCCACCTCTCCCCAACAGTTCATCAGGCAATTCAGAAGATCTCTTACCTATTACCTTTCCATCTGGTTTGAATACAACTAACTAGATTATTTAGTGGAATAAATAATAAATATAATCTCAACTAAAAAGGCAAAAAAAGAATAATTTGCATTAACTGCTATTATCTGTACTGGAACCAAGCTTCCCACCCCACTGCTCTGCTGCCTCAACAGCACCAAAAAAATAAAATGATACAATGTCTGTTTTCAAGGCCAAAGTTGCACAGATTTACTGAAAGTCATCAAATATACGGTGCAAGGATGTGTCATTTAAAAGACTGTGGAGGAGAAAGGCAGTTTTGAGATGAAAAAGAAGAAAACACACTTTTCCTTTAGCAATATATTTCAATGGAAGGGCAGTAGGCTGTGACTGATATTTTTAGTAATGTTTCTTCTAACTCAGCTCTATCTGCTGATGTTCCTGCACCTTCTTCAGAAAATATGAGCATCTCTCCTTGTCACTCTGCAACATGGCAAAGCAGCAGAAAAGCTGTTTCCCCAGAGTGGCAGGCAATTCGTTCAGAATAGGGTGTGTGATTGTGGGGGATGTCGAAGTTGATGGTGTGACCAGGCTAGTGTATAAAGAGCTTAAGGTTTAAACTGCCTTAGGGATGAAAGCAGTTTAATGTCCACTTTCATTTGCGTGCATGGCAAAGGAAATTCCAAGACAGTTTTGACACACACTCCCCTGTCAAAAATTACAGTGCTTCACATCTAAGGCTGTCTTACAGAGACAGAGGAATAAAGTTCTGCACACAGGTGAAAAATACTAAGAAAGAAATATTTGTTCAGTCACATAAAAACCACTTCCTTAAATCTTCCTCTTTGGAAAAAAAAAAAAAAGACGACACATTTTTGCAAGCCAAACCTCAAAGAGAAGCACAAAGACATTTACTTTCAGACTGATAGAATTATAGAATTGACAGGAACTGAAGGAAACTAATACTTCAGGTCTGAGTCGTGCAGCTGCCAAGCAGCTCACCCTCTGCTCTGTCATCCCACAGCTACATTGCACTGTAAAGTGAAGGCACAGGAGGACAAGCCAAAGTCAAAGACAAATCATGTCCAACAAAACCACAGAGAACTTGGATGAATTCGGACAGTGTGAGGATTCATACAAATTGCTATTAAAAAAAAAAAATAAAAATCAACAAACAAACCAAGAGGGAGAAATCCTGAAAACCTAGGAAGTAGCTGTAGAACTGATACAGAAAGTTAAAGACTAATTTAAAAATTGGAAAAGTCACAGCACAAACATCCCTTTCGCAGTTGCTGGTCTCTTAAACCAACAACAAAAAGGACTTTCTACATGACAAAACTATTAACTTGTGATTTATCAAAAGGACACTCCAGTAATCATTTACCCTTAAGCACTGTACAGCTGGGAATACCAGGTGTATACGCCTTAAAAAGCTGAAAAACTAAGTTAAGGAAGCCACAGAATCAGATAACTGCAATGGAAAAGACTTAGAAAACATCTAACATATATTCCTGCCAAGAACTACTTTTCTGAATGTCCCTTACTGCTTTGGCAAATCCAGTTTGAAATAATCAAAAGGAATTCTCAAGGGCATCCTACATAAAGACAGTTACAGCCAATTTGCCAGAATTTTGTTTCCCTTTTACTTCTAATACTTCTCAGAACAGAGTCAGCATCAGTCAACTGGATCTGAACGCTGAACCAAATATGGGATCCACATACAAATTAAAGAGACTCACACCCTGCTGAGAATTTCAGCCGAGGCCTTTACTACATTTGACAGCATCATCAGCCACAAATGATTCTTGGTCAATTATCTGACATGTTTTAAAGGTGGACTAACAATATGCCAGTCAGAAGACTGCTTGGTATTCAGTAGGTAGAGGACACAGATGTGAGCGTACCTGCTACACTGTTTTCTTCTGGTCTGCCCTTAATTTTAAGTGGCAGAAAAAGATTCACCTCTTCTCTTCTGGGTATTTATGTAGCATCCATAATTAGACACAGACTGATGCTAGAAGTCTTACTTGATCATATCATTTTAGATCTGGTGCTGACAAGTTTAGAGTTGCTTGCTAAGCTTTTAGTGGTTTGTTTCTTTATTTTGCTAGAATAGAATACAGAGAACCTTCCAATTTCTGTAATACTTAAAATCTGTGGGAAATTTGAAACACAAATAAAGATCTTGGACTTCTAGCTTTTAAAATCTTCATGCAATATGATTTGAAAAAAAAAAAAAAGAGTTAATGGAAATAAAATCAATGCTTCAATCACACCCAGCCACTTTGCACAGTAACCTTTGAGTCTCCCAGCCACCTTTGACAACTGACCAGTGACCACCTACAGTGCTGCCTGCAAGCTACAGGTACTACAAATAACCAGCTTTACTAGATCAGACTTAGGGTTCATCTAATCCGTTACCTTCTCTCTGACAACAATCATTAGAGATTGCCGAAAGAAGAGTTCAAACATAAGCAGGCAGTGATACTTTTCCAGCTTCCACATATTTGTACTTCAAGAACTTCCATTAGCCAAAGCTGACCCCTTTTATTCAATGGTCCCAGATTGATTTATCTTCTGTTCATTTATATCTTTATTCTCTGAAACTATATAAGCTTTTAGCGTCCATGATACCCCGTGGCAAGGCAGTGCACAGCTCTATTATCTGTGCTAAGAAGAGATACTTCTATTTGCTTTGAACCCGCACCTTCTCGTTTCCGTTGAGGCCCTTTCAGCTCTCCTGTCGGATGTCAAGTGCATGACCTCAGTTCAGTCTTCATGCTCTTCACAGGCATCATCAAGTATTCCCTTATTTAACTCTTTTCTGATCTATTGTTGTTACAGTCTTTTCATATCTTTGGTCAACTGTCACACTTCTTGGTCCTCTGGTCCTTCCTCAGCTACTAATTTGCTTTTTAGTAGATAGGGAGATCAGCCCTGTACATGGCACACTGAAGATACAGGTGTGCAATGACATAATTATGTTCATAATAATAATGTTATTTTGATCCCTACTCCTTTCTATAGATTATTAGCAATCAGGTTTTTATTTTGTTTGGTTTTTTGTTTGTTTGTTTTGTTTGACTCCTAGGCTTTGAATTCAAGTCTTCATAGATTCAAATTCCGATCTTGTTCCTGAGTTCAGTTCAGAGACAATAAGATATACAGTGAATGTTCTCTTTCCCCCTACATGCATTGCATTTGTCAACACTGAATTTCATATTGTTTTATCCACAAAGTCCTGCAAATTCTTCCCTGTTGGCACTAGGCTTACTAACATAATTATTATCTTTATAATTAACTTTATCATTTATAATAATAATTCTGAACCTACCAAAATCCCCAAGACCACATAATATTAAAGGCATTCAGCATTTCCATGACAGCTCTGCATGTACACTTAACAACACAATGCTAACTTCCCAGAAAAATTCATGCATCAAAAATAACTTGAGGGAACGGCTTGGTATTATTTTAATATTACAAATCCAGATGTTGCACACCTCCCCAGAAGACTGTAGAAAAAACAAAGAATCAAATGGACAAGGCACAAAGAGGAAGATTACACAAAAGAAAGTTACCATGAGATAAATAAGCTACAGGCCCTATTTGAATTCCAGTCTATCTACCCTATGAAATCATTGCATCTTTGTTACTCTGAACATACTGTATCAGGATCCTGGTCTAGTGCATCCATTTCCTTCCCCTGAGAGACAGAAATGACTAAACGGCTGTAAGGATGGATACTGCTGGGGGACAATGGACTAAATGAAGCCTAAGTAAATGAGGCTGGTCAGGCACAACTGTCCATTAGCAGAGCCTGGCCCATCAGCAAGCTACCAACCACAGAATAATGCAGTTAGGCAAAAAGGACTCAATAGTAGAAATGGATAGGGGGTCAGGACATTGTTGGAATCTCCTTCTCCCCCGTGACACGAAGGCTTTAGCAAGAGTGGAAATGTAATTATTTCTACTTTACTATTTCTCTGCAAGGGAAATGCTATCTACCAAAACACAGAATGTTCCTAAATGGGGGGAAAGAAGCCAAAGTGAGAGGCAGCATGTTTAGGCTATGCTTTCTCTAGTGACTTGAACTTCCTGTGCTACTTAAGCAAAAGTGATATGGTGGTAGAGTTTTAGACAAGTAGTGTCATTGTACACACTATTCTTAATTACACAATGAGGTATCATTAGGAATGGCCACACCAAGCCAAGTTTGGGAGGTAAAAAACATGTGCCTGCACGCACTTTAAAGATTTGGAAAGAAGCAGCTTTGAAGAGACACCACGCATCCTACTACTTCGTTTTAATAAATCACAAATTAATAAATCCAGACTTATCCATCTCTCCAGTTGTACGACCTCCAAGAAAAGGATGCCAAGAACTTAAAAGTTCAGTATGCCTTTACAATAACATTGATACTTTTTGATGTTTAGCTCAGCCAGTGAACAGCAGAATGCATCCGCTGTGTAAATTCTGGAAATCTGCAATGCTCCCTGTGCCACTTCACCCATTAACCCATTGGCCTTGCAAGTACAATCTCCCTGTGCAAAAACACACAAGGGACATAAGCTTTTTCTGAATATAAGTTTTCTACGTCACATTTTCTAGCATCTGGCTTTTCACTTTAGATTTATCCTCAAATTCAGCCCTAATTTCATCCACGTCTGTCTTGAATTAAAAAAAGAAAATAATTAATTGTTGACTGTATTGCATTTAATACTTTAGATGCCATGATCGAAAACCTGTGTGCTGTTTTTATTTGTTAGGAAGCAATCTAAGATATGTTAGGTATGATGTGCAGCTATTGCTCTCACAGCCATTAGCCCCACAAGTTTATTTTAATTAGAGGAGCCAACAGACTTATGCAACAATTCTGTGTGGGCAGTATCTGCTTCATTCCTGTCAAGTTAATGTATCACTGCCCTTACATAACACATGGTAGCACTGAAATTGTTGTTCTTTCCATGTTTTAGATCACTGCTGCTTAACAATACTCTGTGGGGGTTTGCAAATTTTAGCTTGAAGGCGGCCAACTAGTCTTTCCTTAGTTTTAGACTATTATTAATCTGGGCACGGGACACTTTGGCCAGCTACACCAGCACCTGGGATTCACAAGTGCATTTTAAACAGAAAGCTTTTTGAGTTGCTGACTCATTTCATATAAGCATATACAATAAACCAATTATTCCACAAGGAATGAGACTAGTAAAGACTTCTGCCCTCTGTTTCTATATATTCCCCGCAACAGTCATAATCCCATCATTCCTTCCAAGCAAGACAAATGCATTTGTGATATCCAGGTCAGACTTAAGTATGTGGTGACAGGAGAACCAGGACACAGGCTATTTGGGTAAACTGTGCTGCCAAACAGATGACAGTCTTGCCCACCTTTTCTCAAGTGGGGGTATTAATTTTCCTTTTCTTCCCAGCTGCCAATTTTCACAACATTTAAGAGCATAATTATCTTTGGGACTTCCACCCCTTCAAATTCAGTTTAATTGGGACGAAGGATTCAAAAGTTATTGCTGTGCAGTCTACCCATATCCACTGTACACGTTATTTTCTTAAAGAAAGAGGCCAAAAAGAAAAAACAATGTCATGTTGGAAAACACACAAACATTCAGCATACCCAAAAATTTAGTATTAATAATACTCCAACCATCTTTAAACACACACCAGAACGTACCGTTTTTTCCTCATTTTCAAATGCTTCTCTTGCTTCTTCATAGCTACAGATTTCTTCTTTGCATTCATGTTCTATGTTACCTTGCTTTAATTCTTCCAAAAATGTGTTGGCTCTCGGGTATCTTTTTAACACAGAATTGGCTTTGTCCTCTGTTAAGAACACTGAGTAAGAGAAGAGACAACAAAGGTCACTTTTAAAATAGATATCCAAAACCTCATGCTAAAACTGCTCAAAGAACATGTGCTTTTGAGAAATAAAGAACTTTCCAAAGTCGTCCCCTTTTTTTAATATGGTAAAAGACCTTTCCTAGTTTTATTCATTATTGTTAAGTAGATGGGCCTACAATTTCAGTAGTTGTTGCTATAACATCGTAAATGTGGTAGATCTCCATTCAACACCACACTCATGTATGCTTAAACCAGACTGAAGCTGGTGCCTAAGACGAGCACTCAGAAGAGACAGGCACATGCTCAACTCAAGCAACTTCTTAAACTGAGATGAAACAGAACAAACAAATCCTGCTTGTGAACATCCAAAAAGATATTTGCAACTGCCTGAGGGCATCACAGCCAGGATTCTCTGAAGTTTTTGATATAAATATTTATGAATATTACCTAGAGTCATATACACCAAAACAGCTGCATTTATTTAAGTTCAAGTCTGTAAGTTTTCTTAAGCAACTCTGAAGCAAACTTGCTCGCTTCAGTCCAGAGATATTAACTCTGAAATGGTGACCCTTTTAGGGATGTAGGGGGGAAGTAGCCTCTTTCTATTTTCTTGAATCATACGCAAATCCTCACCTTATTTAATGAATCAAATAAAATGACCCCAAAGGGCAAACTACTTTCTGATGTGGGTATTCTTTATTTGCTTTCCTTGGTTTTCTGTTCAAAGAAGAGAGCTGGAAGCAACTCTTTTTCTTCTGATGTTCCAGCTTTCCCTCTAACTCCCTGATCAAATGATTTTTGCAGTAAGGTGCACCGACTGGAACACTCCAGAACCCAGCAGACCGAATTACCCGGGAGGTACATCGCAGTGAATGATGCAGAAATTCTCCAGGTACTTCAGGTCAGGAAACAAGAACATCATGTCAGTGGAACGCTGTTCTTGGGCTCTCACTGCCACCAAGAAAGACTAATTATTCAATGTGCTGCCACACTAATACACCCATATTACTTTGCTGTCCTGTGCAATCATTTCTGCATTGGTTCATTTAGTCTGGGACTGCCAATACACTATGAAAACAAACTCACTGGCTGCTGAAGGACAAAGATTGACTGGTTTAAGCAATGATTTATCTGTAATTTTATATGGATTGGTTTGTTGTGGGTTTTTTTTTCTTAATCATTTGATTTTGAATTTTAAAAAAGGATGGCAGCAAGTCTACAAAGAAGGTCACTATACTTCTGTTTTCTCATGAGATAGATGGGGTGGCATTTTTCAGCAATGAGGCTACTACCATAATTAGGCTGATCTACTACAATTTAATTTTGTTTATCCTCTGTGGTATACTTTGTTTTAAATTGTTAGACAGTCATCTTCCTTTTCCAAATGATTAAATGAAGATTTGAAGACTAAACTCCAAAACACCAGTCACTCCTACACTTGCATAGTCGAATACACGTGGTACAAACACGCGCCACACAAATTACACTATTCATGATGTTGCCAGAGGTTCAGCCCATACAACTCTACAACTGCACCTATTGCAATTTTGCTTTTCTACAGCACCGCTGGTCAGTACATAGGTGTCTCCTATTGTGTAAGTTCACTGACTAAATAACAGAGAAATTAATATTCAAAAAGGAAAGAAAAAAAGGATGGCTTCTTTCCATTTCCCACACAATTCTCCTGACTCCCCTCTGGGCCTGAAGAACTTGGTTCCTTTCAACATGCCTGAGTGATCACCTAAATGTAATGAGATGAATGAGTTGTCTGCATCAGGAAGCCAGCATGCAGCTTCCCTGCACAGGGACAGACTGCCAGTGCCCTACCTACTTCTCACCATCTCCTCCTGTGGGCATTCCTGAAGCGGAACAAGCTAGAGCCCAAGCTCTCTTAAGAATGTCCATATGTGGAGTCACTGAAGAGTAGATAATGCACTATAAATCAAGTTTCCCTTCCTTCAGCAGATAAAACCTAGGGAATTTCATTTCACAGCTGGAATCTATCCCTGAAAACAGCAATGAGACAAACTACGATAGCTTTATTTTTTTTCTGTCTGCATCCAATACAAAGAGGAAAACACAGGTAGCTGAAAAAACCCTGATTTAAAGCTTCTGGCTCTCAGAAACAACACAAATCTTTGTTTCTGTTTTACCAAAGCAGCAAACTGAGAATAGAACTTTAAAAGCTGGTATATTACGAAATACTGCATTTGATACACATTATGATGAATTTCTAGGTAATAGCTTAGTTTTCCAAAAAGAGCTAGGCATACATTTCTGCTTCAAAACGCATTGATGAAGAATGGCAAAGCATTAAAATAATTCCATATTCAAGAAAGGCCAATGTATAACTATCAATAAACCCCAGCTTCTTTTATTTAGCAATTCATATTCAGAAAGTGTCTCTCTTCTCTCACAATACAGTATAGGAAATGCATACATCACAGAGACAAAAAAGCACACTGAGGAAAATAAGCCACACCCCATATTAATTCTGAGTGTATCTGATAAGTAACAATCTATGTTTAGTCCCAACCAGGAATGGCTTTTAACCCTGCAAGGCCAGAAAAAATGAAGTATATTAATTTGTTTGTTTTCATTTTACATTTTTAAAGCTCTGCACACTTCTAGTGACTTTAAATCCTGTTGAGAAGTCAATACAAACGTAGAAAGGAAACATAAGAACATACACCGATCAAAACAATCTTGATGGAGATACTGATTGAAACACAGTGATTTAATGAGAACAAGCCATTGCCTGATGAATCCTATAAAAAGAGATAATGGAACCATATTGCAGAAACCACTTTGACTTCTTAGTATTCCAGGACCATCATCATATAGACATTCAGTTATAATTGCACAGGAATGTGCAAAACACCTCTTTGGGGTAGATGCCCACTTAGCCAAGCTGAAGTGTGGCTGAAATTACTGCAGCTGCAGATCACTGGGGAAGAATTGCATGTGGCAAGAATAAAGTAATGAAACAAGATAAAACTTAATTTTTCACTTTAAGGAGATTAACTGGCAAACACAAGACAAAGGAAAAAAATCAAAATTATGATTTTAGCATTACATAAGATAGATGCAGAAAAAAAAAAATCTGAAGTCTCTTCCTCTCCTGCAATTTTTGTAGAACACAACTCCCAAATATAATGCACTGAAATACATGTTTATTTCTCCAAGCATGCTTGTGCTTTGGGTGCAACTGTAATATTTGGCTTTTAGCAAGTTTTTATGTATCAGAAAGCTACAAAAAAAAAAAAAAGTTTCAAACTCTCAGTTTGACCACTATTATTGAAGAGAGTAATACAGTCAGATCAATCTACTATACATTCTCATAAAAACCTGTGTGCTAACATAACAGTGAATAGATACTCTAGCAACATGAAATTAAATTAGGATCAGAAAGAGGCAGGCAAGGACACCAAAGGATAAATACGTCTCAGCCTGCCAGCTGAAGCTGTCACAAGCAAAGAAAATAGGTTTCAGGTCTTTAGCGACACAAGAAACGGGGAGCAGCAGCGTGGGAAAAGTATTCTGGGACAGGGAAGTGTTGCTGAAGCAAAGCCCAGGGCACCCGGGACACGAAACCCAGCGCTATTGAGACCATTACTGAGGCTTCCTTTTTCCGACTCCTTACCAACACCCAAGTAGATTAAAACCACCACCAAACACTAAAAAATAAACATTTCATTTTAAATTTGATGCTGCAGCTACCGATAAATTTGAATATTTCTGTATGTGACCTTAATAAAACTACTTGGTTTGCACTGGGCAGAAGGGAGAAAAATGTTTTGAGTATTTGCATCTAAAGCTTAAAAAGTGACTTCTGCTCTGAGATTCTGGAGTTACTGGGACAAGTTTAGGAACAATTAAACTGAACTACACAAAACCGAAAATTTAGTTCTGTGGTTTGCATTTTCAGCCAGCTTTCAAAGATCCACAAATTAGTTTGTGATGATTATTGTGGGCTGCATATATAATCTCTGTCAGAAGAGTAGTACGATTCCAGTTCAGTTTAGTGTGGGCAAAGATGTGCATCATAATAACATCAAAACCAGTTCAATAGCAGAGGACATTTTTTGTGTAAACTGACTGGGATTTTGAGCAGAGGACAGTTTGGGGGGTGTTAATGCTCATTTCATAGGGAATAATAAAGAATGCACACCCATCACTAAGTTAACAAACTTACCACTATCCATGATGATTACTGTCAAAGCAGGAAAGCTTGCAAGTATCAAGTCTGTAAATAAAAGAGGAAACACACTGTTGAGTTTGTGAAGTATGATGACCTTGGAAAACTTGCTCTTTATTTCCAAATGTTGTTACAAGTCAGTGTTGGAAACCACATCCTCAAGATTAATCCCTCTTTTGAGTTGTACCACTACTGCACGCCGACCAATTTCAATAGTATCCAAAAAAAAAATAAATATGTAACTCCTGTGAAATGGTGAGTGCTTTAACCTTTTTCAAAGTTTTCCATATTTATAATATGCAAAAATAGAAATATGAAATAGAAGGTGTGTATCATTTTAAACAAACCTGCAACCTCTGTTTTACCTAATTGAACCTTAAAGGTATTACATTCTCCACTGTAATTACTTACGCCTTATCTAAGACTTAAATTCACTCTGCAGAGATCATCAAGTCAACTCATTATCTTCAGTCTATGGATCAGATTTTTTTGAAATCAGAATTAAGACATGCAAATTCATTCAGAGTCTACTACTGATTAAAAGAGGATACCTGCATAAAGTTCAAGGGCAGAACAAGACCTGCAATTTGGCAAAGGAACTTGCAAGACATGAGAGGATCCCAACCCGCCCTACAAGAACTTACATGTACTTTATACCTCATCTTGGAAGGAGAACAGACAGAGATGCTCTCAGTCAAGAAAGTGCCTGAAGCTCATTGCACCCACCAGGCAGCCAGCCAACAAGAACTGCATCTGAAGGCAGCAACAGTTTGTTAAGTCTTTGTTAGTATGGGAGAAGTTAAGAAAAGAAAAGCTTTCAGCAAAGTATGAGAAAGATGCATCTGTCTAACCAAGTTGATAGAAGACCAGAGAGTTAAAGTTGGCTTTTTTTTTTTCCCCCCACTAATAAATTATCTACTCCTAAGGTTAGGATTAGTTCTACTTCAGAGGTTAGGTTACACATCCACATATCGTACTATATTAACATCCTCACTCTCCATAAAACCAAGATCTCATTAGCAAATCTCTCCATTAAACAAAAAAAAGGTAACTATGCACAAAGTTTGACCATAGCTGCTGTAATAAACACAGACAGAAAGTTAAGAATTCCAGCATGGCCTGTCCAACTGTAATCTGTCATGCAAGAACAGACTGTAGCACTTGTAACGACTGCTGCCAAAGTGAATAGAGCTCTATAAGGACATCCTAGTCTGTAACAAAACTGTGGGATTGGGACTACAAGATGTAGGATGGAGAAGTAAAATGATTTAAAAGCAAGTTCATCAAGTCGCTGTAAAGACAAATAAATGTGAATAAACAGCAGACATTAAATCACTCTTAAATCCCACCACCATAGTGTTTAGCTTTTCATTAGTAAGTATTGTAGGGTAACAAAAACAGAGGGTTTAAAAAACTTCTTCAGAATATATATAACCACTTTTAATAGCCTGAACATTTTTTAGCAGACTATGCAAAGACAAAACCACCTTTGCCACTTGCTTCTTGAATAAAATTAAAATTAGTGTCATTTTCTAGGTAGTCACATCATTACAACCCAAGCATCTGTGCTGAAGAAATTTCCAAGCTTTAAATTATAAACAGGTCATAAAAAAAAAATTGGCTACCGGTATAACTATTTTCTTCATCTGCTACATGAGTTTCTGCCACTGTTTATTACTCTCCATTTTCAGGTGGCTGCTTTTCCAATAGCCCCTTCAAATAAGACTCACAGCAAAAGAAGAGCAAGACCCACGAGTGCTCACTCGCTCTGGTGATCTGCAGTAACACACTGCATGAAACGCACCTTGCCAGGCTTCCCCTCTCAAATGGGGACATGCTTCTGCGTTGAATTTTGGTCAGTCTTTAATATTTCACCCTTTTAACACATAATTTGGGTGATTTCAACATTAAAAAAAACAAAAGAGCAAAACACAGCCATCCACATCCATGCTCATGGTGTCACAACTAGACATCTGTGCCTACTGGGAACTGTGGTGGAAACAAGGGGATTAATGTCCCTCTCCCCTGCTATTGGACTTTTTGCACCAGTGGCAGAGTGTGACACCTCCTAGGCATGCAGTGCTGCCTAGGGAACAGACTGCAGAGGGACCACTTGGGTTTTTGCCTTCTACTTAACTGCCTGTCCTGGCTTGAGGTAAAACAGAACCAATTTTCTGTTCACTAGTTTTACTTTGCAGCTAAGCCTCTTCTAACTAACTGAACTCTCTGAAATTAACAGTGTATTTGTAAGACTGTGTCCACTTCCAGAGTGATAAGACCTGATTGTTTCTAATTTATGCCAAAGAACGGTATGCAGGAAGTCTCCTGCTTATACTTATTGCTATAATGACCCGGGTCAGGTAACTTCGTTATTTGCCCCATTGGAGGGTCAGAAGCAGACAAGCGTACAGGGGTCACACCCATGGGGAGGAAGGGACAGGACACGTGACCCACAACTAACCATCTGGGTGTTCCGTCCCATCTGCATCATGCATTCCTCAGTATAAAAGCTGAAGGATCAAAGGGTCATCCCTCTTACTTCAATGGCTGATGCCCAAGGAGGACTCTGTTCAACCACCCTTCATCCCAATCTGTGTATTCCTGACTCCAAATCCAGAATCCAGTTTCCATCTGTCACTGAGACCAGTCAGTCTGGGACTTTCCCAGTGCTTGCCAGTGATGTGACTCTCATCCAGGGAGCTTGATACGGAAATGGGAGAAGCACCCCATTGTGACTGGCCCAGATGCGTGCACCCTTGGCACTGACTACCTCAGGAGAGGTGGGGGAGAGCATCTATCATTTGCTTCAGTGGCAAGTCCAGCCCAAACTACCACACTGCCCCTTCCCCTAAAAGGAAGGAGCTTCATTATATTTTGGTCCTCTGCTCTCTAACAGTCTTGGTTCAAATTACTAAATAGTTCGAAGGTTGTTTGGAGGAAGGGATTGAACAAATACAAGTACATAAATCTTTTTTACCTTCATAAACCAGCTAATAAAACTGAAGAGGGCTGGCAACACTACAGGAACATCTTGACTTGCTACTGACTCATTTGTTCTTCTACCCAACTCTTTATTTCGTTTCCTACTTTTAAGTCTTCGTGAACCTTACTGAAGACTAGAATGGTCTTAGGGTGTCAGAGCAATGTTTTTAATATTGCAAGAACAAAAAACCCCTACAGATAGTATCTTACTAGTAATACTAATGCTTGCCATTTCAGCAATTCCTTTTCCAACTATCTTCTACATATTATCCCCTCTACACCCTCCAAGAGGTTATACTTCACCTTAGATTTGCCTGTGAAAAAGTGACAACATTGCAGACAGCATGGATAGCACTATAGGCAAGCTGATGTACCTGACCAACAAGTGATTGGTCACATTTGGAACAAGTGACATATTGGTCACATACTTGGAACTTGACACATACTTAGATATTGACATATTAGTCAGTTACTTGGAACAAGTACATTTCTTTCCACAAGTAACCTAAGTATTTTTTCTTCAGTCCTGAAAGTGCCCTGACCTTGTACACACTATATATAAGCACAAAGCATAGAATATTTTTATACACATTTCCAAAACTGGAAGCTAACTAATTTCAGCATTAAAAATTGTTGACTCAAGACAGTATTTCTGCAAGAATTTGTTGCATTTGTTAAGGTGACCCTATTCGGTCAGCAGGTACACCTCTTCTGGGTACATTTCCTGACTACAAGTTTAATGGAAATTTGTGTGGAGCACATACCATTAAAGGACAGAGGATCTGATGGAGGGCAGACAAGTCCAAACTACCCTCACTATTCTCACTCACTGACTGTCATGTACCCTAGGGAGACAGAACATAAAAACCCAAGTGGGTCCTCAAGGGAAGGGATTACAAAGAGAAAGGAAAATAAGAACAGCATAAAGCAGCAGCAGTATTTTCCCTCACCCAGTTTCTCACTTGCTGCGTTAATAGGGACTTAGATCACTGCAAGGCCACCGTGTTCCTCTCACAACAACGTGCATTACAGTAGCCAGGTAGGGAAGAGGCTTTTTTCATTCTGCAATACAACTCTGACAGGGGATACAGCTATTAATTTTTGTTTTGTAATCTCTACAATTAATGAGACCACTGGGATGCAATTTACAACCGGATGCCACATGGAGCTATACAATTTTTAAAGTTACAAATATTTAGGTTCCTCTGGAGCTTTTAATGAAAGCAAGTACCTTCAAGGGACATTGCTAACTAAAACATCAGTAGATATTCAGTCTAAAAATAAACACAACTTTTCTATTCCCCAGTCCCAAACCAGGTGCAATGCAACAACTGAAACACTCCTGTGGGAGGTTTGCTTAGAAGAAAAATGAAAACATCAAATAATTACACAGGAAGACAGATGATAATTATCTGACTGCCATTTACTCAAAATGTGTTATGTGCCTACCTAAAAATCCCAGTGCCACCACATGTGCCTTTTACATCCTTGGAAAAAGTGTTACAGAAGAACAAAATTTTACTTATAATAATATGTTTCAAAAGAACTTTTTCCCCAGGAAAAGCACACAAAGTTATTTACACGGATTCAAGTACTGGAGAAATTTATTGTTTTTTCTCTGAACAGGAAATTCCACAGTTTAAGGGTATGGGAGAAGCCTATATTTATTAAGTTTGGTTTGCTTGCAACAGCAAGGCTTTCCAGGAAATATGGGTGGGAATAAAGAGGGATGGAACACTTTGAAAACTACTCTATCAGACAAGGACACAAAAGATTTGTCCCACCTGACACTACATGGCACAAGGATAAGAGTGAAATAGAGAACTGAAAAAATACCTCTGCTTTGTAAGCACCATCCAGTCACAGCATTGAAACCCATTATCATTAATTTTGATTACACATGGACCTGAAACCACAGGCCAGGTCACTAAAAGAAACCTATATTTAGCGTTCTGCCATTAGGTCTTCAAACCAATAAAATACATCATTACTCACAGAACCAGCACGCTGAGTACAACTCTCAAACACCGCCCTGTTGGCAAAGAGAAGGTGGTTCCTCATGACTG